GGGCCGTCTAAAAGTATAAAATAAAATTATTGGGCCGGGTGGATGGGGAAAAAAACATTTTGGGCGGGTTGGATCAAGGGTGGGGAAAATAAAAAATTGCCCACCTCTGCAGCCCGACTTCTGAAATCCGAGGTTCGCTCGGGCGAGGACGAGGGGTATCCCACACCACCTCCTAGGGGATGGACGTGCGCTATTCACGGAAGGCGTTAAGTTCTTGGCGGTCACGTTAAGAAGAGCCGGTACAGTTTACCCTTCTAGTGGTCGTCTTAGGAGCCATTGACGAATGGGGAGCTGGCGCCAAAAGAAGCCCAGTTCGGGTTTTCACTAGCTATGGACGGAGTGCGTGTAGGCACTACCTTCACGGATAGATTTATCAGACTAGTTGACAGGAAGATGTGACTAGAGCATTGCCTTGAATATCTGTATGTCGAAAGGCTGGTACTTCGTTATTCGTGGAACAGAAAGAGTAATTATTTCCTAGGAGGACAGAGCGACCAACAAAATATGAAAGTCGGTTCCCGTCCTTAATGGGAAGTTCAGTGTTCGGTCGTTCAAGTCGAGTACTGACTTGTATAGTGGTAGTCGGGTTGCTTGCAGATGACATTCACACCAAAGTTAGAAAAGTAGTGGAGTCATCACTAAAGCAATGGCATCCCACATCTACTAGAGAGTTGGGATGTCATCATTTCTTTGCTAGCAATCAGTATGGTATGGACTGAAAGAACTTGGCAACGCATCTCATCAAGTCGAAAAAAGTTGTGACAGCCCAGCCGCTTGGCAGACAAGATGGAAATCTGAATGAGTGGTGCGCATGATTGCAATGATTTCATAAGATAAGTCAACTTACGTCGACCTGAATCTTCTTTTGAAATAGTTTTGTCTGTTTAACTTTTGATTGTCTTCGAAAGAAGGGACTAGGATTGATTGAGATTTTCTCACGCTTGGAATATCACGTCCTAGTCGACCGGCGTACATCTTGATTAGTGGGAGATCAGCGCCCCAGGGACGGACGACGTTCGGGTCCACTTTGGCGTTCAACCATGCTACCTATGCTACAGCGAACGAGCAAACGCCCTAGGCCGGCCTACCTCTGCAATTGCATTATAAAAGTTTTCGCATATGGGTCGGTAGCTTGGGACGGATACGCCCCTAAGGGTGGTGACAGCCCCTTAGGAAAGGTAAGTTGTGCGCCGCGAGAACCTATCCTGTCGTAGGGGACCGAAGGATGTACACCTGGCGCACTCGGTCAGAGCGGTGAAGGGTCGGCGCAGGTTACCGTGTCGCCCCCGAGTTGTTTCTAAAAAGTTGAAAGCCTAAGTTTCTCCTGCGTGACGCGGTCGGGAGGGCCCTTGCTCGCACGGGGGCCGATACGCTTGACAACGCCACGTCGGGTGATTGGTATAATTGGTGTCGCTATCCGTCTCCTGAATGACGAGGACGCACCGGTAAGTTACCTCCAGACGAGGAAGAAGCCCGGCCAGGAACGCCATAGCCAGAATCTCCATCTCGAATCTCGATTACTATCAGCATTCATCTCTCTCTCTCTCTCTCTCTCTCTCTCTCCTTTTTTTTTTCTTGTCTTCGTGCGAGCGGAGTCTGTGTCCGCCCATCCAGCAACGGTGCCACCACCGGAATGCCGATCCCGATTAAGCTAGGAGTTTAATGAGTCCTTTCTCTCTCTCTCTCTCTCTCTCTCTCTCTCTCTCTCTCTCTCTCTCTTTTTTTTTTTTTCTCTCTCTCTCACACACTCACACACACACACGCACACACACACACACATACACACATACACACACACACACACACGCACACACACATACCCACACACACACACACATACACACACGGGGAGTCGGAGATATTAAAAAGTCCTAAAAAAAAAACATATATATGTATATTGTTTTTCCATTCCTTGATTGTTTCTTTAGGACACAAAAGAAAAAAGAAAAAAAAACGTAAAATAGAAGAATACAAAAAATTGCCAACCAAAAATCCCTCCCGCCCCAAAAAACTTCTTTTTTAATTTGTTTTTTAATTTATCTTCTCCACCTTTTCTGTTTTTTATATTGTTTTACCCATTATTTCATTCAGGAAAAATATGGTAAATTCGCGTCCACGGGGCGGACAAGGTCGGTCGCGGACACGGCCGTATATACAGTCGTGATCTGAGCTGGACCCCGCGGATGCGTCCGCGGGTGTTTCATAGCACATTGCTATACGATGCGCCATATTTATCAATATTGCTCCACGTCTACCACTTAACAACTCATCATCCATAAATGTATATCCCCGCTCATACTCTCACATTTTCCTACTCTCTCATTACCCGTGGGTCCTATTTATTGTATTCTACGTTGCATGGAGTACACGTACGGGGGCTTCTCGTACGAGACGTACATTTTATTTTTGTACGGGATCTGTACGGGAATCTGTACGGGAACCTGTACGTCTTGTATGCCCCCGTATGAAAAAAAAAAAAAAAAAAAAAAAAAAGGTCATAAAAAAAATATGACAAAACACTATGTGATGCAAAAACACAAAACAAGCAACATTTGGTTGAGCATCATCTTAAGATTCTTAATAAAATTTGAGAAACAAAAATAAAAATAATACCGGATTAAAAAAAAAAAAAAAAAAAATGTACGGGGCCCCTAGCGTACGAGTAGGTGGAACATTGTTTGAGTCGTCTAACATGCACGTCGGGATAGGTGGAACACGCATGCTTTCAAAGTCGGTTATGAAAGCAGACCAGCCTTCAAGTCTACCCTCACGCATCAGTGCTGTTTTTTTTCGCTCATGGACTTGCCAAGTTGCTTCATGACATTGAGCAAAATCTTGTTCGCTTTCCATTTCTCCTTATCTTCCATAAATTCACACGTCATGCAAGTCGATCTCTGTGAACCTTACGACAACTACAAACAATTTACATCCACGAAGTTTATATCTCACTATTGACTCGTATTCGTATGAAAATGGTCCGTTGGTTGTGGTGATCGTTGCCCCTGGAGGCACTGCAACGGAAGTGACGCTTGTCGTTGTTGTATAAGGAACACCTTAATTTGTTTTTTTTCTGTAATAATGTCGACATTTTCGAGCACTATAACCCTAAAATATCGATTACGAATGTTGTTGAAAATAAATAATTTGACAATTATCAACATTATTGAAATAAAGAAATAGTAGTTTGTGATACAACAAAGACTGACTGAAAGCAAAAAAAAAACAACTATGTTTCATGCACCCACTTGGACATGCTATTTTTGAGCATTTAAAATACACATGTTAGTGATTTTTCAAATTTCATACATGAAGTGTAACCGGAAAAGAACTAATAAACAAAAAAAACACGAATAAATATAAAAAAAACTTGATTGTTTTCAGCACACAATGTGAATCTGACGATCGCTGCAACGCATTATCACTTTCCCTTGGCATTGCAAGGACAATCGTTCACATATCTGCTTCAACGTCCGGATATATATTGGTGAATATATCTTGTCGATGACTAATTTGCTACGCTAACTTATGTTGTCCAGTTTATGCATTGAACGTAAGTAATATAAAATTTCTTGCGCGCTTTATCTCTTCACAGTCTGGACAATCTACAACTATCTTTTATCTGCCATCCACTAACGATACTTATTTTTGTCCCGACCGATGACACTGCTTCGTACGAATCACTTCATCTGTGTCACATTTTCTATGCTTAGCTGTGAACACTATCTCCTCACATTTATAAAAAAAGTATTGAAGTTGCACATGCACCAAACTTTCAACCCTGTACACCTACGTTGACCCTCGACCGCGGCCGCTCCGGCCGTGTTTTTTCGGCCGAGGCCGCGGCCGAACTGGGAGGTGGTTTCGGGAGAGGAGAGCGGGTTTCGGGTGGGGGTGGGGCGCCGCACGCCCTCAAAGTGAAAGACCGACAAAAAAATAAAAAACGAGGGGGTCCTAAACATGGGTCTAGCAAGGTGGGCCGGAAAAATTATTGCGTCCACCGGACTGCGTTTCGTTGATGCAGGTGCGTAGGGGGGAAGGTAAGCAACATAGAAAAAATATAAAAAAAAATATGCGCCCCCTGCAGGTTCGTTTTTTTGGGGTTGGGGCCCGTGGGGGTATCTGGTGGGTGGGAGACCGTGGGACCGTGGGCCCACGTCGGGGGATGGGGGTCCGCCGGTTTCGTGGGTGGGTTTGTCGTTGGGTTGAGTGGGGG